GTAGAAAAGACTAAAAATCGGTCGGGACCGACCCCTTTGCATATTTAGTAGAGTTTTATATAACAGAAAATCGGATGAACAATATATATATGGGGGCTATAGCTATATCAGAACCGATTTTCACCAACTTTGATATATTTGATATTACGCGTTTAGTGCACAATAAAAGGTAAATCGGACGAAGATATATATGAGAGCTATATCTAAATTTTAACCGATTATCTCCAATTTCAATAGGGTTCGTCCGTGGTTCAAACAAATGACTTGTGCAATATTTCATCTGGATCGGGAAATAAATGCGAACTGTACTTTGCATAAAAAAACATGGACAGGCCGATGGACGGACATGCATAAACCGACTCAGAATGTGATGCTATGCAGATAATCAAAAAGAACTATGGGTCTATCTCGATTCCTTTTGCCTGATACAAACAAATACACAAAGACATAATACCCTGACCACGTTGTGGTGTAGGGTATAAAAGTGCGATGCCTGATGGCGACCCAACTTATTCCCCTCAACCCTGCTTGGCTCCTCCCAGAAAAAGAAAGTTCTTTGAATCGAAAATTATGATTCTGCCATTTTTTAATGTTGATCTCTGAAATTTCAATTTATTTTCTGTTATTTGTAAAAGGTCCTGCGGAATTAAAATACTTGTCCTTTTGTGAACACGCAATACGTGTCGCAAGAATACTATTTTCCTTGGACTTGCTCATTTGTCCTTAAACTTTGGGGGAGAGACATTGATTTAATGGTCAAACAGGTAATGTAAAGAATACACACATACAAAGCATGTACACACCATGACAGCTACGTTCTGACGTTGTCGAGATATTCTCGTTGATTTTGATGGCACCAGGGTGATACTGTCAAGTTTTCCTGTTGTTCTTTTGGCCATTTACAATGTTTCAATTTTCCCGTTCTTTGTTACATTTCTTCTTCGTCGTTGTCCTTATTTTTGTTTGCATTCAGTTCTCGGGAATAAAACATAAATAAGCGCGCAAAGGTAACGAAGGCACAAAACAAATGAAGACAATCTAGGGGCGGGGGGTGGTGGTGAGATATGCCGAAGCGAGAAACAAATAATCGAAATGCTTTTTGGGTGTCCGGCAAAATGAAAAGGAGGAGTTGGTCATTTGTTGTCCCTGGTAATGATAAACAACCTGTCGCTATGCTTGTATGTCCTGGCAAAATGCAGGTCTCCCTCTGTCCATCTGTCAAGGCCCTAGGCCCTAAATTCCCCTTGTTGTTTTTCTTCGTCATGTTTTCCTAAGGAGACCTTTTGTCCGTTTTGATAAATTGCTTTTATGTATTGTTATCTTAAAGTTCAAGCCAGGAAAAAACCATGAAAACAAAACGGAAGTTTTATCACTATGCTCAAGGGGAGGAGGTGGGCGGCTGGGTGTTTGGGATAAGATATTCTCCCTGTTTTCTTTGATTTCCCATCCATTTGCCCATATTTCTCCATTACGTTTGTTTATTTGTGCAATTTATTTTTGTTTCTTTATTGCTTTGTTGTTGGTTATGAAAAATGATTTCTGTTACAAATCTGGCAGAAATGATTGACTATCAAATGGCCAACAAGATATCTTCTTAAGCGTAAAATAACCATCATGGTGGGCTGGAGAGCACAATTTGATTCCGCATTAAGTTGTCCGTCTTATTGTAATTTCAAGCTGATTTATTTTTGCTTTTGTGGCAATGGGGGGTTATGGATCATGGCTGAGATTTAATTTCGGCAGAGTTTTTTTCAAGGTAGTTCATTGACATTTGCTGCAAACTGTTGCGAAATTTGTTTGGGTGTTTGTAATAATATTGAATATTAAAGCGAATATCCTATGAGGGTTTTTGGACTATGTCAAACCGTTTTGATTTTATTTAAATTCGGAATATTGATTTTAAACGGAGTACCAATTCATACTAGGCGGAAAGGTACGTTTTTAGGGGGGAAAGAGAACTGAAGAAAGCTTTTTCCACCTGCTTACGGACTAAGTAATTATATAAAATGTTGATTTTAATTTTTGTTGGCCTGAATTTCAGTATTTTAGTTTTTGACATTGGAATTTAATAATAATATTATTTCCTAAAAGTACAAAAGAATTCTGCACACCATTTTAACTTTCCTATAAAAAATCCGTTAAATACAAGTTATTTGTCCAAAATTTTTTTTAGGGTCTCTACATGCGACTTGGGGTCTCTCGAAAAAATATTCAAAAAACCCCAATCCTATCCAAAAAATATTCCTTAAAAATAAATGAGTCATGAGGTCTCTGTAAATATTCCTCAAAATCCACTATCATTGGGATATCTCAAAAAAATATTTCTAAAAATCCACTAGCCTTGGGACATCTCCAATAAAAATACTCTTCAAATCTATTAGCGTTGGTTGTCTTAAAAAAAATCTTGGGCCACTACAATAAAATATTTTTAAAAATACAAGAACCTTGGGGCTTTCCAAATAATGGCCTAGGAGTAGTCTAATTTTTTTAATTCATACCTTTGGGCGTAGAAGTAGTCCTTAAAAAATCCACTCCTTTGGACATAGGAGTAGTCTAAAAAGTCTTTAAAATCCACGCCTTTGAGCCTAGGAGTAGTCTAAAAAAGTCTTAAAAAATTAACGCCATTGGGCTTTTGATGGGTGTAGAAAAAAACTTTAGAAAATCCGCGACTTTGGGCATTGAAGGAGTCTAGAAAAAATACATGACTTTCCGACTTGGAGGAATCTGGAAAAAATCTTAAAAAAATTCATGGCTTTGGGCCTTGAGGGTGTCTAGAAAAAATCTTTAAAAAGTTCATGTCTTTGGGCCTTGAGGGAGTCTAGAAAAATCCTTTAAAAAATCCACGTCTTTGGGCCTTGGAGGAGTCTAAAATAAATCTTTAAAAATCCAAGTTTGTGGGTCTTGCAGGAGCTTAGAATAAATCTTTAAGAAATCTTAAAAAAATCCAAGTTTGTGGGCCTTGTAGGAGTCTAGAACAAATATTCAAAAATTCCTAAAAAAATCCATGTCTTTGAGCCTTGGAAGATTCTAGAATGAATCTTTGGAAATCGTAACAAACTTGGGCCTTTCCAAAAAATATTCCTTATAATCTACGATCCTCGAAGCCTTACAATAAAACTTGGAGACTCTCTAAAAACCTAATTATTTTGGGGCTTCTCAAAAACAATTAAAAAAAATCAACGAGCATCATGACATCCCCAAAAAATGATCTTAAAAATCGAAGATATATTGGGGACTCTCCAGAAAAAGTCCAACACTCATGAACTACACTCCAAATTTTAGAGTTGAGATTTAAAGCACCATTCCTTAAAACCTTTCCTAAGACACACTCAAATACGAAATTTTAGAATTGTAACGCTAATAGATGTAACCCTAATAGACGTAGGACCATTTGGTACGATTTTTGAAAACCTCCCTCTATCTTATGTCTGACACCTATAGTGATCTCATGCCCAATTGAATGTCAAAGGGCAAAATTTTATTTCATTAGTACATATTCGGATCTTGTTAGACGGGTATCCAGATTAGATCGAGTTCGGAGATGAGTAAAATTGTGCACTAAATGCCTAAAATCAGTCCAAAAGTCCTGCATTTTGGCGCATCCAACCGAATTCAGTCAAGAAGCAAGTAAGTTAAATTTGGTGGAAATTGGTTCAGATATATCTATATCCCCTAATATGTGTTACATTCGATTTGGTGTTTAAGTCCCTCACATTCGTAATATGCAATCGATAACAATGACATTTGGTACCAGATATCAGATACAGTCCAGAAATACCTCTGCTAAGTTAAATCAAGATCGGTTCATATTTGGAAGTATCTCTCATATATATATATATTATTAACCGATTTCGGGTTAATTGTGCACCAAATGGCCAATATCAGTCCAAATGACTTGAATTTTAGCACATCCTACCGAATTCAGTTTAGAAGAAAGTACATCAAAATCGGTTCAAATATAGCTATGGCTCCCATATATATATGTTTCATCCGATTTGGTGTTTAAGTCCCACACATTCGTAATATGCATTCGACAACAATGATATTTGGTACCAGATATCTTAAAAATTTTGCCAAATTTTATCGGTTCAGATGTGGATATAGCGTATATATTCTTAATCCGATTTCAGGTTTATTGTACAAATAAACGCTAATATCAGCCCAAATTAACCACATTTTGACTCTACCGACGAATTTCGACCTGAAAACAAGTGCTTCAAATTTTGATTAAAATCGGCTCAGATATAGTCAAAGCTCCTATATATATGTTTTATCCGATTTGGTGTTTAAGTCCCTCACATGCACAATATGCACTCTACAACAATAATATTTGATACCGGGCATAAGATACTGCTCGAAAATTCATCTGCCAAATTTTATTTAAACCGGTTCAGATTTTTATATTGTTTCGATATACATCTTTATCCGATTTTACGGATATTGCACCCCATATATACAATATCAGGCCAACTTGAATAGATTTGTTCATATTCAACCGAATTTTACAATTTGGTGAAAATCGGTCCGGTATATCTACTACTGTCATAAATTTTTTTTAATATATTCCTTATCGAAGTCATATCATGCACCATAGCAATGTTATTTGGTTCATAGTTGGTATGATCTACATCACAAAAATTCCCAATATAAATTTTTTTGTTACGGGAGCTCTACTAAATTCGCATAGTGGTATAGAGTATCATATAGTCGGAGGTATAAAACCTCTTGGTAAGATTTTACTAATATTATATAGGGGCAATTTTTATCTGCATTTATTCTATAATTGGTTTCCATTAAATGAACAACTTCAGCGAAGGACAGATTTTATTTCGACTGTCCATTACCTCCAAAATCATTGATTTCCTAACTCTTGTTGCTATTTTCGAAATATATTTATTAGCAAATTCATTAAAAAATTTAATTTTCTAGAATATTTATGACCTTAATATTTTATGGACTCTCTAATTAAATTATTTCCAATTTTTAACATTTCTTTGCAGATTTCTTTAGCGAGGGGATGTTAATTGATTGTTTACACTTTGGCCATTAATCAAATGCAACAAAAAAATTGACAAAAAACATAAAGTGTAAATGAAATTTAAAAAAAAAATATTGCAAACAAGAAATTATTGTCAATAAATGGAAATTTGTTTTCAGAAACAAGAAAAATGTAGTGAAACCAAGAAGAAAGGAAAATCCTAATAGAAAAAAATACCAAACTGGCTTTCCACCTCATCTCAGCTGCTGAAGAAGACAATGTTAGAAGAAGAAAACATCACCATTGCAAATAATTGCAAATCATGATTCAGACATTTTTGATTTAATCAAGCGAACATCCAACCAATCACCACAAACCAGTCGTTCAGTCAGTCCATGGTATGTCAATATCGTAACGCCAAAGCAAAAAAAAAAAAAAAAGCACAGCGTGGAAAATTGTATGTATCTGAAGCAGCAGCCAGAAAAAAAGACGTGTACAGGAGATTCCATAGCAAATTGTCAATGTCGCTTCAAACATCAACTTTTTTTTTTGGATATTCAAGATTGCAAAAAATTCAATCGCCACCAAGCCCAAACAAGTTTATGATTTATAGAAATTGTCTGACTGCTGCTGTGATAGAAAAGTAGTCGTGGTCGGGGATCTGGTTTAGCTAGCTACACACAAAGACGAAGGCGTCCCCAAAACTACAAACACAATTCAACCTACTTACCTTACGTGTCTCACCGGTATTGAGAGCGAGCACCCCCCGCCCCACCTTCTTCACATTTCTCCGGTCATATTTTTTATGGGAAGTAATAATCAACACGATCGTCGTTAGCAGTCACCACCGGTAGCAGCAGCAGCAGCGGCGGCAACAGCTGCTTTCCACAACATCCAACCGCAACACAACAGCAGCACCATTACCCGCAGCCAACGAGAGGCGCAGCCAACATGAATTGGATTATTGTTGCCATAGTGCTGCTGTTGGCCCACAAACAATATTTGGCCAGTCCAACACCGCTCAAGTTGCCAGGTAAGTACCACAAATTTCATTTTTATAACCAAGTTTTTTCCCCTCCATTTTTTTATGAAATTCAGTTTTCAATTTCAATTTGCAATTTTGTAATTTCACAGTTGGTCATAAACAACAACAACACAAATTCCGTTGTTGTTGTGGCTGTCGACATTTGAAATCAGATCAATGTTAACACATTTTTTTAGCTATTGCCGATTTGATGCTTTTTCCTTAAACGTCAAATGTGGTTTTGTTTTTAAGCGGAATTTTAGGGGTCTGATGTTTGATGTTGGCTGATTTTGTTGTTGTTGTTGGCCTCTATTTCTCCATTTCTCTCCCTCTCTCTCTATCACCCGGTAAAGTGGTTTTTACCGTAAAATTTTGTTTCGTTTTGATGGCCAATCGATTTTTTTTTTTACAAATTGTTGTGAAAATGAAATTAGTTTTCCATTTTTCGATGTCGATGTCTTGATATTCATCCGTGGAAAAGCGGATTTTTCTTACGGACTTGTCGCTCTCGGTGAAACACGAAAGAAATATATTTAAGAAGTAGAAATATTTATAAGGTTTCATCGGACCTAACATTTGATACCCAAAATCAATTTAAAAATAAGGAAGCTTTTTGAAAAGATCAGGTCCGAGGATCATTATCCGAGAGAGTTTATAAAATCACCATTTTTAATAGAAAAAAACCAAATTGTAGGAATTTTGGGCGTAAATTGCGATTGAAATCCGAATATTGGCCGGTAGACTTAAGTGGAGCTGTATCAAAATATGGGCCTATAAGGATAGTTCTTTGTAAGGATAGTTTAGAAAATATGGAAAAAATACCAGCTTATTTTTTTAAATACCTTTGAAAAGGTCCGGCGTTTTGATACAGACCCACTTAATCCATATGGTATATATGGAATCGCGGATTTTTCCTACAGAGTTGTTGCCCTCCGTGTAAATCCCCTCCCAAAAAGAAAAAAAGAAACAAAACAAATTAGTCAAGTCCTTGGAAACAACTAAAAGCCGACAGCGCTGTTTTTTTGGAGCCACTAAACATGGATCGAATCCTAATATTTTTAAACGTAGTTCAGAAAATCTGAACTTGCATGTTTCGGGCGTTTTCAAAAGTACGTAATGTCGGGCGGTACCATAGAATGACAATGAATCAAAATATGGGCTCATCCAAGCAAAAATTTGGAAGCTTATTAGAAAGAGCAAATTGTTAAGTTTTACCACAATCGTTTATTTAACTTTCTCCGCTGTTGGTAATGAACTTTGAGCCACTGTTATGAACGTTAAGGGTGGTTTCAAGCCTTTCATCTTCCAATTTGGATTCGTTTGGAAACCACCGTAATTACATCAGACCGACGGACGTTTTTTCAAAGTTCGTGAACAATTGTGGAGGTTGTGGTAAAAAGAGTGAAATTTAATTTTCACAATTGCTTCAAATGGCTCACAAAATCTGATTGTGCATAGATTGATTAATACCGACTCGTATTTCATATTTTACGAAAGTTTATAGTTTTCAAAAGTTTTGCCCTTTGTGGGGAAGGTATCAGATGGATAAGTATCCATCCATCTGATACCTTCACTATAAAGGGTCAAAAAAGGTACTACCTGAGAGAGCTATCTTGCTCATTAGCATTAGTCAGACTTAAAAGTAGACGAAACTGATTCCGTCTGAAGGGCCTAAATCCATAATTTTGATGAGGAAAATGTTATCCTCATCTAATGGCATATATTTTCTGTAGCCATTTAATGGAGGGTTTGAACTACTTCCCACACTGCTCCCGCTGTATATAACTCAAATCAACGGCTATTACAAGTTATGTAACACATTATTTATTGGATAGTAAAAAATGCTTCATTTTTAATTTCATCAAATTTTAAACAAAATTTTAAATGTGTGAAAAAAATATTAATTATATAAATTTATTTTTTTTTTTATTAACTCTGAGCACTATGACTATCCCTCCCTCTCTCGCACACACTCCTACTCTACAACAATCACCAAATATGTAACAATAAATAAAACCCCAACGAAGACCTATTTTGCACAAAAATTTAAAGCCATGTGAAAATTTTTGCACCAAATAAAAAATGTTTGAAATGCGTAAAGTGTTCCAGCCATTAGAGTCAAATCACCAAGTCGTCATCGTCGCCGCCAACAACAACGGGCAGCAGGCAACCTCCAACGCCATGTTTTATTGTCAGTTTTGCGAGTGGTCGGTCGGCAGGCATGCCATACTCCGGCTCTCAGCCGCCCCATAAACGCCAAGTGCCAATTATGGCAAAGCCTCTAAATGGTGAACAATGAAAGTGACTTTAGCAAAAATAAATAAATAATAACAAACAAAACAAAAACAAAAAAACAACAAAAATGAGAAAAAGCAACAAACTTACAAACACAAACCACAATACGTTTTGTTATAGAAAAAGATTGTTGTTGCAGTTTTTTTTACATTTTTCTCTCCCCATCCAAAAACAAAATAAAAAAGAATGAAATGTTAAATACACATTTTAAAAGCTGGCAAATAATGAAGAGAAACACCAACAAAAAACAAACAAATAAAACTTGTTATTTATATTTCTGGCCATTGTTTAATATTAAATTTGTGTATATATGCATTATGCTGTCGGCAAGGGTCTGTAGGTTTGGGTGTGTATATCGTTTTTTTTTTTCTTTTGTTTTTTATTGTTATTATAACAGTTTAATGTGTTATTGTTGTTATTTTTTTTTTCTGTGTATTGTTGTTAGCTGACATTTGCTAATTGTTGGGTATCCCGATTGCCAAGTTATGCCGCAGTGGGTTTATTGTTTTTTGTTGTTGCTGCCGCTTTTTTTTACATTTTGCAGCTGCGTACATCTAACCGCATTACTTGATTGTGGTTTTGGATCTTTTTTGTTGTTGGCTTTTTGAAATATGTAACAAAAAGTTGGGAAATAAGTTTAAAGATAGGTTTATTTATTAGATTTTTGTTAAGAAAAGAGTAGCTATTTTTGGGAGAACTTATCATGGGAGATCTGGAGATCTTCTTACAGTAGACCTGTGGATCTTCTCATAGGAGATCTGGAGATCTTCTCATAGACAATCTGAAGATCTTCTCATAGGAGATCTGGAGATCTTCTCATAGAAGATCTAGAGATCTTCTCATAGAAGATCTAGAGATCTTCTCATAGAAGATCTAGAGATCTTCTCATAGAAGATCTAGAGATCTTCTCATAGAAGATCTAGAGATCTTCTCATAGAAGATCTAGAGATCTTCTCATAGAAGATCTAGAGATTTTCTCATAGAAGATCTAGAGATCTTCTCATAGAAGATCTAGAGATCTTCTCATAGAAGATCTGGAGATCTTCTCATAGAAGAACTGGAGAACTTCTCATAAAAGGTCTGGAGGTCTTCTCATAGAAGATCTTCTGGAGATCTTCTCATAGAAGATTAGGAGATCTCACAGAGGATCAGGAGATCTCTATATATGAGAAGATCTACAGATCTTCTATGACAAGACCTCCAGATATTCTACGAGAAGATCTCCAGGTTTTCTACGAGAAGATCTCCAGGTCTTCTACGAGAAGATCTCAAGGTCTTCTACGAGAAGATCTCCAGGTCTTCTGGGAGAAGATTCCCAGATCTTCTATGAGAAGATCTCCAAATCTTCTATGAGATGATCTCCAGATCTTCTACGAGAAGATCTCCAGATCTTCTCTGAGAAGACTTTCAGATTTTCTACGAGAAGATCTCCAGAAGATTTTTATTAGTAGATCTCCAGATCTTCATTGAGAATATTTCTTCTCATAGAAGTTCTGTAGATCTTCTCATAGAAGATCTGCAGATTTTCTCATAGAAGATCTGTAGCTCCTCTCATAGAAGATCTGTAGATCTTCTCTTCTATTAGAAGATTTCCAGATCTTCTATGAGAAGGTCTCCAGGTCTCCTGTGAGAAGATCTCTGAGATCTTCAATGGGAAGATCTAAAACTTCTAAAAAGATATCCAGACCTGCTATGAGGAGATCTGCAGACCTTCTTGAGATCTCCGGATCTTGTATGGGAAGATCTTCTACGAGAAGATCTCTAGATCTTCTATAAGAAGATCTCTAGATCTTCTATGAGAAGATCTCTAGATCTTCTATGAGAAGATCTCCAGATCTTCTATGGAAAGATCTCTAGATCTTCTAATTGAAGATCTCCAAATCTTCCATGAAAACATCTTCAGATCTTCTTTGAGATGATCTCAAGATCTTCTTTGGAATGATCCCAGACCTTCTATGAGAAGATCTTCAGATCTTTTATTAGTTGATCTGAAGATCTTCTGTGAGAATATTTCTTCTAATAGAAGATCTGTACATCTTCTCATAGAAAATCTGTAGATCTTCTCAGAGAAGATCTGGAGACCTTCTCTAACTGGATCTGGAGATCTTCTCCTAGAAGACATTTTTGGGTTTATTGGGGTCTGGTATGACTTCTCATAAGTTTAGTGATTTTTTTCGAATGCCGTCACTTCCTCTCATCTCCTTTGTGGTGAGAACTACATATCCTCGATTTATTTCCGCAGCTAATTAAATTCTATTTTATTATTATTTCCCGCGTCAAACACATTTCCAAAAACAGAACAATGTAATTTGTTGTTGACATTGTACTGCCGCTGAGTGTGTGAATAAGTGTTGCAAATTAGTTTTGACAATGTCAATCTTAATTAATTTATTTTGGGAAAATTTAAAATTGTTGAACAATTTCCGGTGAATATTTTTTGGGAATTTAGCATAATTAGAATGATTGTTAAATTCATAGGAAAAACGATTGAAAAGGAAAATTATATTTTTTAATAACAGCTAATGTAAAATATATATTTTTTTAATAATTTGAATTTTTAGCCATTAATTAATGTATTCTAAGAATTTGAAGCTTTGTTTAAAGCCACCTATTTATTATAGTTTTAATAGATTATTGAAACATTTTTGTGTAGTTTCACTTAATTTTCCCTTCCTAGTTTTCCAATGTAATTTTCGAGAAAACCAATTCATTAC